CCATATTATAACATCGACTGAGATAAAGAATAAAATGAAATATTAAAAACACGATGTATCTCGCTGCATTGCACGAGTACGCTTCTAGTATACTCTAGAATATTTAATTTGCATGCAACTTAATAAGAAAAAAGTCAAAAAAATTAAATGTGTTTTTAAATCATAGCAATGAAAAATAAAAATCACTAATAATAATTTGAAATAGGTTTTTATTTTTATTTTAGTTAAGTTATCAAAATAATGTGTCATCCACATCACCTCATTAAAGCCATACAAGCCAAAAAATCTAGGGTTAACCGGTTTAAAAGGTAACAGGTTACCCATTGCTATAATGTGTAGATTTTTTAAAATGCGATGCCTTAATAAAAAATAATTTGAAAATACATTGTTGTAATAAAGAAAAATAAAAGTAAAATGCTATAATAAGAAAATGGAAAAAGTCTAAAAAAACCCAATGGACTTTAATGTTTGGAATAATTAAATCCTTGGACAATTTTTTGAAACAATAAGTTCTTGGACAATTCAAAACTTATTAAATAACTTCTTGAACATTTCAAAACCTGTTAGATACATTCTTATGACTTATACAACCGGTTAACGTGGTAAAATAATGGAAAAATATGAAGAAAAAAAAGCCAATAGACTCATATTTTGAACGACTAAGTCCCTAAACATTTTTTAAACAAAAAAAGTTTTCACATCTATAAAATGAAATAAATAAACCAAAAAACTACTTATATTTACAAAAAAAGTACTTACATTTAAAAAAAATATTGATGAAATTTACTTTAATTAAAAATAACATATTTTATGTCAGTGATTTTTCAAATAAAAAAAGATCTAAAAAAGATTAAAATTTAAAGTTAGTGTTCATTGGTGTATATATGAATGGATTACTAATGTCTAATTGATGACTAACTTGACCACCGCTAGATGCTCTAAAACAGTAACATGCTAATAAGTGTAAAATATCGTGGTTGAATATTGTTGGTGATATCATGTCACCGACGGATTATGGACGAATTTTAATTAATTATGTATTTAGTTAAATTTTATCGTTAATATGTCAGTAATTTAAACAAATTATTTTCTATTTTTTTTAATTGGAAAATTTATTTCATTTTATAGATGTAAGTATTTTTTTGATATAAAAAATATTTAGGAACTTAATTGTTCAAAATATGAAAGTCAATTGGTTTTTTCTCCCAATTTTTTCCATTATTTTACCATATTAACAGTTTTTATAGGTCATAAAAATGTATCTAACAAGTTTTAGAAAGTCGAAGGAGTTATTTAACAAGTTTTGGAATGTCCAATAACTTATTTGTTTCAAAAAATTGTCCAAGAATTTAATCATTTTAAACACTAAAGTTTGTTGAGTTTTTTTTAAATTTTTTTTAAGAAAATTTATGAAAGTAGGTTGTTAATTCAAAATTTAATAAATGATACAAACAATAAACCACATATATTGGACCTTGAAGGGGATCAAACAATAGAATTGGGCCTTGCATCATACCGGCTTTGTCTTTCAGACAATTAGTCAAACACCTGGTGTGTGAGCCAATCCCAGTAGATACGATCAAGAACAAGAATTAATACGCCAAACGACAAAGAGTTCAATCAATTCATTCTACGTAGTCGGAGATATCAGCACCTAAACCGCTGGATTAAGAACGTTTGATTCGATTCACTCACTGACATTCCATGTTAAGAAAAAAGGGGGAAAAAGTTATACTCCACTTGCGCAAGTGTTTTCTGATCTTCTTCAAAGTTTTTTCAGTGGGGTTCTGTAATTATTGAAGAATTTTTGAATTTAATTCGTTTCTGGGGTTGGAGATTGGGTTAATGTATGAGAAAGAAGAAGAACCTGAATCAGATATGGGTCGAGAGATCTGGAATCTACTACGGCCGCGATTCCTTATTATCTTCTTGATCGGTTCAGTCCTTGTCTACCTTGCCTTCTCATCGTTCTCTCAACAGGTAATACCCTCAATTCTTACAACTGATTTTGGTTTTGGTCTGTTTGTTAGATAGAGATGGATTCGAAGGGTTTGTTTTGATGTATGGGGATTTATGTCGATTATGTTGGCAGTTGAGATTATTCATCTTGTTTAGTTAATCAAAGATGAGTGAGGGTTATGCATTGAGCGGACAATGCACGAAATTTGTCTTCAATCTTCACACTTTTGGTTCCGATGGTTTTCATGTGTTTAAACATACCTTCAGACCGGAAAAGAAAGTGTGAATAGTACCCCCATTTGCTGGAATGATAGTCACCTGATATGTGTTGATGACAGAAGTCCATTTGTTGGAAGACAAATGATAAGATTGTGACTAGTAGGTTAGTTTCACTATTCCAAAATTCAATCTCAAATCAAGCAGCAGTGTGCCATGCCTATTGCTATAAAATTTTGCTTCTACTGAGCAAAGTTTAATGTAATAATGCCTCAAACCCTTTCTTTCTTTGCCCGGTGAAACTTCTTTTTGTTTCCAAAGGATGTATCATTAGAATACCAATACGAGTTTTAACGTGTTAACTTTTTGAAATTTGTTGGTCATTATTCCATTTTATGTGGTCTGTATCTTACCCATATGCACACATGCAATAGACTCATTAATTGGTACATATTTTCATGATTTTGTGATGCTGTGTCATATGGGTTGTTTATGTTTACTTCTAGGTATAGTTGGATAAACTTTAAAATGAAGCATGAAACCTGTTTGGCTATTTTCTTGTTGGCCTATCTTATCCCTAAAAATGTACCTTCAAAGACACTTAGGACCTGTTTGTTAACAGCTTAATGATCTTAATGCAACTCGCAACTTACTTGGTCAGCTATACATGACTGTTTGGTAGTGGCTTAATGACATAGAAAGTGGCTTGTTCGGTAAGCTTCTAGGTGGAGCTTTATGCAGAAAGCCAAGTTTTTTCAAACCTGCCTCTCCAACTAAAAGCACGCCCTTCCGTCTATGAAAAATCCCTCCCAATCTGTACAGACAGATTAATCCATACAGTTAGCTTTATCACACAGGACTTAATGGAAAACCAACCAAATAGCCCCTTAGACCAATACCTAAACCAAGTGTTGATTGATACATCCTCTTGTCCAAGTAACAACATTCTTCATGGGTAAAATTTGATTTGTGAGTTTTAGCTTTCATAGTCGAGTCTTCACAGAAACAGCCTTTCTACCCTTTGGGGTAGAGGAAAATGTCTGCATACATCCGATCTGAGGTCGTTTGATTTAGTTTTCAGAATGATAATTGAATGTTGTGCAATTGTGCTTTATATTTTATCTTGTTGCATTCTGGATTGAAGTAGATCCTCAAGCATGATACTTTTCATCTGCTATAGCAATATCATAGCTAAAGCTAGTTACTGGTCATACATATTATGTATTAGATGAATATCAAAATTAAGAGGTATAATATGTTGACACTTGACAGTAGAATGTGCCACCATCATTTTCTGGTTGCCATTTTCTGCGTCGTGATTGTATGGAGAGTATTTATGTCGAACCTTGAATAGTATTATATGGCAAGATTATGAGCTTATGTTCTATTTACACACACATTTTCATTTCTCCACTTTCAATTGTTTTTTACTTGTTCATTTAGTACGCTGGCTATAGGAGTCAATAATTAGAAGTGACAAAATGGAAGTAATAATTCGTGACATGCATATATCTCTTAAATTTGGTGATTGAGGTTGCTTAGAAATGTCAACACATTTGTTGTTGGTTGCTAGTGTTGTTGTCAACATTTTGGAAGTCGTGGTGGGTCTGAAACGTATAAGGGAAGGGATGGTATCTGGGATTGATACTCCAAAAATCGAGACAGTAATCACGGAGAGGAATATTGAGCAGAATATTTGTGGCTGAAAAGTTATACTTGAAGTTGTTAAATAGGGCCTTTTGGAGTTTGTATACACATTTTTTTTATTGCGAGGATAATTACTGATTTTTCTAGTTGCTATTATTGTTGGTATTTAGCTTAATCTTGTAGCTATATTTATAATGGAGAGAACAATGAGGATTACAAGATTAGAGAAATAATAGATTTATCTATTCGGGTTTATCTTGTAATTATTAGGATAGTTATACTAACAATAGGTTTACAGTTTACTGTAATACTCTTATTGTTATTAAGACAAGTACTGACGTTTCTAATAACTACTAGGATTATTGTCAATTTCTAGATTTATCCTTAGTTGAGCAATCACTAGATTTGTTACAGTTAGAAACTTTTGGGGGTCTTCACGGAAACAAACTCCAAGATCTGCGTACATCCTACCCCCCCTTAGACCCTACCTCTGTGTGGGATATACCGGATTTGTTTGGTTTGCAGTTAGAAACTTATAGTTCTTTGAAAGATTATGTCAACATTTTCCCAGTTAAGGTAGATCTTCTCTCTAATTGGGATTTTTGATTTTATTGTTGCCTTTGACTTCCATCAAAGCTTCAATTTTAGTCTCGTAATTTTTCTCGGCTTGAGTCTCCTATGATAATATCATAGGGAAAATAATAAACAAACTAGGTTTCTAGGGGTTCACATTAGTGAAGCACTGGTATCTCTTAAGCACTGCAAATCACTGAAGGGTGATTGTTTCATACAATCACAGAAAAACTCTTAATATTTTTGTTCCATCATCTATGAGTTTTGTTGCAATACATCTGTATACAACTTAAGACAGAACAATAAAAACAGATGTTTATCCTAACATTGCTTACCCTAAAGATAATATATTTCCGATTTGCTCCAAAGTTTTGATTTTCATCACATTCCTCCCCATTCAAAAAAAATCATCTTTGACTTCCACCAGAGCTTAAAATTTAACTTCATTTTGCTTGGATTGAGTCTCCTATAATATTCTCCTACTTGACAACCTTAAAGCTATAAGAATCGTCTTACTTGTTATACTTGCCCAGAAAATGATACATCCAGCGACTTCCGTGGGACACATTCATCGGTAAGATACTGAAACAATTAACATCGTGTCGTCACCAAACATGATTGGAAATGTCACATTGATGCGTAATCAGTGGCCCATGTATTATTTTGCCAAGTGATGGTTAAAGACGTGAAACTGGCTTACTTGTAAAATTGATCTCTCGACAAGCAAAAGGCTTGGGCCATTAATTTGAGTCTCTTTGAGGCCACTGAGGATTTTCTTGGGTGTTCTTGAGGGCCTATGGGATTATTCGAGCGTGCAAGCTGGCCACGACACCCCCTGTTAGCAAAAAAATTGTATTACATGGAACATCAGTATAAGAGTTATAACTAAGTCTTAGATCATCCTTCTGAAGAAGTTTAGGAATCAACCTTCATCTAAATTGGCCTACTAAAATCCCTCAGAAGTTGCAGAAGAGACATGAACTTTCAGAAACTATAGAAAATACCCCTATTTTTTTGAATCAGGACTGTCCTTGGACTTTCAAGAATTAAGAAAACAATGCAGGTTAACATCTGAACTTTTGAAAAATCGCAATCAGCCACCAGACCTAAATGGATAACAGTAGCTATTTTCTTATGGTGGATATGGTTTAGAATTAGGCTTGATTATAGCAGCCAAATAGGTTTTCAATCCAGGAGTTGATGACGACAAATCAGGGTTTGATCTAAGATAACTGCTCACTGATTTTCTGGAGTTGACATTATGTAGCTAGGTTTTAATTTCTGCAGCTGCAACTAGGGTCTTCTGTTTTTTGACTGCTAGTTTTAATTTAGGATTTTTTTTCCTGTTCTTATACTAAACAATAAAGGAACTAGGGTTCTCGACCTTCATACCAAGAAAGGGTAAGGTGTACGGAAACCTTTCCTCTACACTGAGTAGTAGAAACGTTCTTTCCATGAAGACCCCAGCTTGCAATAGAGAAAACTCCAAGTGTAAAGAAGTCTCTAGAGCTTGATGAGAGGAGAGAGCAATGATTTTATTTATTTATTCCCACCGATGAGATTGAATTATTATTATTTTCTATAAAAGAATTTAAAAGTATAAAATTATAGAATATTTTAATAACATATAAAGCATGTTGAAATCACTAAAATAGAGAATTTGTTGGAGTTGAATGAAATTTTCTTTTCATAGATTTTGACTTTTGGTTCTCTATTTTAGAGAAATTATAAAGAATCTGTTGGAGATGCTCTTATACTACACTGTTTGTAATTACAGTTTTCAGAATTATAGTCGAGGAGAGAGCAACAATCTCGCTCTCTCTCTCTCTCTCTCTCTCTCTCCCCTCAGTCTCTCTCTCTCTATATGGAAATAGATATAGCTCTATCTCTCTCTCTGTAAAGTAATAAATATGTCAACATTCATTATTTGTTTTGCATTTACAAACCTTTTCAGGTGAGTCCTAGAAAATATTTTGTAAATTGTCGGTATTGGGTTAAATTTGTTAAATTTCTCTTACCCATAACTTAATTTTTTAGGAGGAAGAGACAGTGGAGGAGGTGCATGAAATTACGCACAGAGTATTCCTGGATGTTGATATTGACAAGCAACGTTTAGGTATTGTTAATCATGTCAAGAAATGGTGTATATTGCATTCTGATTAATGTAGAAATTTCCAACTGCATCTTTTGCTTAATAACTTCTAGTTTTCCTCTTGACCGTGCTTATGGCATAAATAATTACTATCCTACTTCAAATGTGCTTTCTTCAAATAGGTAGACGCATTTACGAGGCTGCGTAAACAATCAATTGGTTTGAACTTTGACATCTTTGAACATTATTGTTGTTCTCCCAATGATTTCTTAGAGAATAGTGCTTGTCCTTCAACTTATCTTGCTTTATATGATTATGTCAAGCTCGTACTATAATATGGATGGAGGAAGTATAATATGGTCAGAGTTAAGAACTTGATGACACGCAATAATCTCTTAAGTTTCATCAAGGGTAAATTTCATGGTACTTGTCTTTTGTTTGAAATTTGGTGATCATTGCCTCACATAATATTGGTTTTTTAGTGTTATGTTGATATCCATAGAGAGTAACGTATGATATACATTTATCATGGCCAATTATAACCATCTTGAAAATTTGTGGATATTTGTTAAGTTCCAACCTCACAAGCTGAAACTGCAGGAAGAATCGTTCTCGGATTGTATGGCGAAGTTGTGCCAAAAACTGTTGGTAAGCTTTCAAACCATCTTGCTTATATATCGTTAAAAAGCAACAAAACTATTATTTGATGGTTGTCTATTAACAAATTCTTCACCTTTTTCATCTTTGCAGAAAATTTCCGTTCTTTATGCACAGGTAATTACAGTTCCTTTTTCTGTTAAATTTTAAAGCTATCTTTGAATGACCCCACCTCCCTACTCCTAGAAAATGGAGAAGGAAAGAAAGGAAAACAGAATGAACGGGAGAAAGAGGGGTCTTTTGGATGAATTTATTAGCTCAATTGCCCGAGAAGGTCAATTTACTAATGTTATGTTCTCAAATTTGGGAAGAACTGAAAATAAATAGAAGGAAAAGAATTTTTTAAATTATGTTCTTGAGAGGGAAGGAAAATGAATAGAAAATAATTTTTCATGCTTTTGAACAGGAGAGAAAGGAGGGGAAAGATGTCATTTTACAAATATTCCCTTTAAAAATATATCCTTTAAAATGAATGGTTTGGGTAGTTTTGTAATTTTAATAACCTTTTTAAGGGGGGTTTAATTTCTTTACTCTCCTTCCCTTTCCTTCCATATTTGGGAGGAAACTTATCATTATTTTCTTTATGTTTTCTTTCTTTTCTCTTCTAAAAGAGTTTCGAGAGGACGAGTTTTTTTTTCTCCTCCCCTTGGTAATAAAGGTTTCGAGAACATAGACGGTTAGATTCTTAAATTCAATTTTTGAGAAAGTCATTCAACTAAAGAGCCCGAGAAAGAGGGAGAGAATTCAATTTACTGAAGAAAGATAACTACATTGAGAAGCTCAAATTTGTTAAACATGTGGAACTTATAACTTTTTTTATCTTGGTATTAGGGGAATTGGGAAAGGGTGCTAGTGGTAAACCGCTACATTATAAAGGAACACCTTTCCATCGTATCATTCCTGGGTTCATGATTCAAGGCGGAGATATTGTCTATCGTGACGGTAGGGGGAATGAATCCATATACGGTGGCACATTCCGTGATGAAAATTTCAAGATCAAGCACTCACATGCAGGTTTTGTATTTTTGAGCAAGATTTTTTCTTTCTTTCCGCACACTTTGCACAAGCCGGGAAACAACCACTCTACTTTTCGAGGTAGAGGTCATGTCTACGTACCCCCCCTCCCCCCCCGGCTGGACCCCCCTCTGGGTGGGCTTACTGAGTTTTTTTGGTTTGGTTTACTAGCATCCTCTACTCCACATTCATAATCTGGGAAGAACTATCCTTATTCTTGTATGCATATGTTATCTTCTTAAGCTAATCTTTTTGTAGGTATGGTGGCCATGGTGAATTCGGGACCGGATTCTAATGGCTCGCAGTTCTTCATCACTACAGTCAAGGCCTACTGGTAAGTGCTTATTTTCCAAATCTACCTTAATTATGAGATGAAGAAATTCATTGCCGTTAAGGGTAAAATTGTCATTTTGTAATTGAAAAGTGTGAAAATTTCTAAAACCACGTGCCTTGTGGACATTTATCTGGGGACAGAGGGAGTATCAAAGCCATAAGGAGCTTCTCACTCGACTCGATTCATTATTAAGACATACACTCCATCTGTCCCATGAAAATTGCAAATCATGACATTTTCTTTGGCAACTGTGAAGTTAAAGTTACCTACTTGCCCAAACACTCTATGATACGACTTGGGTTCTCAAGATTTCCCAATTTTATAAAGGGTATTTAGGACATTTTTATAGTCAAACGTTAAAAGTATTCCATATTATGTTCTCCGTTGAAAAGCAATGAGCAATGACTTTCTTCTGCCCTTAGTTCGCTATCAACTGATTAATTCATAGTCCGTGCTTCACATTCAATCTTATACCTGTTAATAAACCTGAAATAAAAAAATCGTTAGATTAGATTGCGTATGTGTCCTTGAACTCATAGGACGCCCGCCCCCATCCCCATCCGACACTTGTGTGCACTAAACACAGACAAAAATTCTGAAGTTTATTATAACTTTGTTATGCTTCCTCTGCATATGGAAATTGCAACATCAGTAAAGAGTTGGGATATTTTTTGGGTAATCGTGGGTATCTGGCTAGTTTTTACACACACCCTACTAATCCCATGGGGTCCTAAAGATAACAGCCAGGAAAATCCTCACTTGCTCTGGGGAGACTCTAACCCAAGGCCTGGCACCTTAATTTGTCAGTTGAGCTGGCCCTCAAGGTTAAAGTTGCAACTTTCATGGGACATCCCATGACGGAAAATGTCCCAATTTTCATGGGACGGAGGGGGAATTTTATATTTTTTACACGTAAGTCCGATTAAAGGGTATTAACGTTAAAAAAAGTTGGCCTTGAAGAACGTTCGAAGCCCACATTTCTTTTTTGACACACTAATTTTCCAGGTTAGATGGGGAACATGTTGTTTTTGGCAAGGTTATCGAAGGGATGGATAATGTGTACGCAATAGAAGGAGGAGCAGGTACGTACAGTGGGAAACCTAGGAAAAAAGTGGTAATCTCTGATTCGGGCGAGATCCCAAAAAATGAATGGAATGGGGAAACACGAAGCACGGTAACTGAATCATGACAATGAGATTGCGATAGCTAGATTTTACAGTATGATTATTATGTTTCTTTGGGTTTTAGATAGCTTCATATTCATACTTTTTATCATCTCCATCTGCATTTTTCTTCTTGATGATATCTCATAGTGAATTTTGATTAGGAACTTTAAGAAAAAGTGCAGTCTTTATATTTGCACTTTGTTAATGACACATGTCTACTTGTAGCAAATGGGGATTAAAGTATGAATAATATTTGAAGATATCTTGATCTTGATCTAAATCTCGTCACTGAAACCCAGGGAGTAGCGTAGCTGGTTTCAGGGAGCGTAGCCGGTTTCAGGGTGATATACTTGTTCAAAACTTTTGTTGTTGCCAGTTATACTTTCTATTGGTGGGACCAACTCGTCCATGGGCTATAGTACGTTGTATGCACTATGCATAAGCCTAGTCTTTGTTGAATTATTCCGAAAGAAAGGGGGTGGAGTTCCAACAAAGTCTCGTGTTTAAATCCCATATTGTCCCAGCACTGATTTACCTTCCTCATGATGGTCGTAAGACTGACACAGTCTGGAAGGTAACACAAACTATGCATAAGCCTTTTTGACGGTGTCCACTCAACTAGGCTTGTAATCTAGTAAGTTGTTTAATGATCAACGAAGGAATTATAAGTTGTCTGTTTGGCGATGGTTACAAGACTTGGACAACCGGCTACATTGGCTATGTCAACCGTCTGCAACTGGTAGGGTTTAGTCCCGTACTTGAGTTTGGCTCAAGCTCTATATTAAATCCATCTACCATGTATTTTTTTCTATCCCATGGAGGCATGGAGTAGAGTTTGTTTGATTTACAACCCTAACCATAAAACCACAAGGGTGGTGCTTGATTGGTTTGAGCTTGACTCCAAAGGTCAAAAGTACCAGGAGGTCTCAGGTTCAAATCCAAGGAGGAATAAAAATCCCCTTGTGTCCACAAAGGTTCAAATGCGATGACTCCGGGCTATCTACAAAGCAGGTGGTCGTCCTGGTATTAATCGATTCACATAGCGGGTTGGATATCCAGTTAATAAAAAAAATTATCCAAACACTATGAGCCAACATTTTGTGATCAATTTCATTACAAAGAAGTCAAAAAGGCATGTTGATTTTGGTGATGGTGGTTCATCTCCATGAGGGATGTCTCCTCTTTTATCTCTTCTTTCTTGGCTTTTAGTGTTTGTTAACCCATGGCTATTTACTTAAATGACCTTATACAAAAATCAATTTTACAAACTAATTTTTTAATTGTTTTATTAAGTTTTTATAGGGGTAAGATGTTTTACATGAGAGGCAGGTCATTCGAGGGATATCGTGTCAGTTCTCATTTTAAAGATTGTGTTCGTGATTGAAAACTCATCAGCCATTTGTTGTCTTTCTTTTCGGGAGGGTATCTCAGGTATACCCTACCTAATACCGATAAAGACGAATACAACAGATATTTCCTGATAAATTTTATGACCATAATTGTTGTGGACGTCTGGAATCGAACCTGACGCCTTGGCCTCAACCACTGCTCCACAACCCTTGTCGTTCAAATGCAGAACTCATTGACCACTTGTTGTCTTCTTTGCTGTATACAACTTTCGACATTTACAATACAAAATATTTTACTGGTTCTTAAAATACAAACTAATCTTTCAAACACTAATATATCCGATAAAAAACGTTAATTGTTGTCGATATATGCATATAATATAATATGTAATACATTTGAAATACATTATTAATAAGAAGGTAACATACGATGACTTGGGATCACGTGAGAATACTTTTTTACACTTGAAACTTCACAGCAAAACGTTGTGAAGGTAACCTTCACAGTGTTTTTGCTGTGAAGGTTCCCTTTTTTTTTTCCTTCATAATGTTTTGCTGTAAAGTTTCAAGTGTAGAAAAATGGTCAGACAAGTCTCACAAAAACAGGATGGTCTCACGTAAACCCAATCCAACATCTGATGATCTGATATAATATTAAAAAAAAAAAAAAGTCATGATTAAAGGGATTAATATTTCCTAGACATTTCCATGGGGAAGCTAATGGAAACTTTGGGATTGTGATGAATCCTTGTGGGGATTCATATTGATATGATTAACCAAGAATTATTGGCCTACAAAAATAAAATAAAATACCATTTTTATTTAAAAGTTAATTTAAAATAAATAGTTTTTATTTTATTTTTTGGGAAATGAAATCATTTTTTTTTAGGAAAGTAACTACTTTTATCACTTTCTTGAAATCTAAGATAATTTTTTACATAATATTCACTTCATGTCGTTTATCAAATGCTTACCTGGGTAAGCACTTAATAAGTCACATTTACTTTAAATACCAAGAGTCTTACCCGGTAAGTGAGGACAACGACTCTTAACACGGTTGACACTTACCGGGTAAATTGTTGTATACAATGTCGTTTTGGTGGACTAAAATCTTACCAAGTAAGTGATAGTGTTGAATTTTACCGGTATGTGCTTACTTGGTAATTGTTTGGTAGACGGCCCCTAAGTGATAGAAGATCAACATTTAAGGACGAAGTTTGATGTTTAATCAGAGATATTAGTAGTTCAACTTATAAAAACAACGCCACATGCAAGAGTCGGTTTCAACAATAACCCGTGAAGACGAAGGTATACTACAATAAGACTTTGTATTCACTTATCTGAATTCGGCCGACGTTCTTTCCAGACCGACGCAAATAGCAGGTGGCTACCGACGAAGGCGAGATAATCCCAAAGCAAGAATGAAGCTGGAGTCATTACTTGACCAAGAACGTTTTGATCGTCTTCTGGTCAAATTGGAAGAACCAGAAGATTTCATATACTACACGTAGTATACTTACAGACAATATATCTAATGAAACAAAGCCTCTCAGCTTGCTTGTTTTAAATTTTAATTAATTTTTGCAAAAGTTACAGTTTAATATATGCCAAGAAAACTGTTCAAAAATGCACTGCAAGATTCAACTTCATCATTATAAATACTTGAATCAGATAAAACTCTTCATCATTATAAATACTTGAATCAGATAACATGTGATGATAATATCAAAAGACTCAAACTCAGATATCTAAACAACTCTAATCCTCGTGCATCTACAAGGAGACAAAGTTGGGTTTTCAATATATCTGTCTCCTCCCTTGTATTAAGATATATTATCTTTTAATCATCTGTATTTGGATTCTTTTACTGTATTTTTAACTATCAGTTTTGAGAATATCGAAAAGGATTGAATACATAAAACATCGTATTTTACACCATTTTTCACTTTAGATAATGAATTTTCTTAATGCAAAATAACTTGTTTTAGTTTTTGTACTTAATTTATAGGTTTGAATTTTTTTTTGAAGTATATAATATTTGTGTACAATAAACTCTTGACCTTCTAGAAGACCAAAGACTCACAAACCGTCAGAAGAAAGCCCATTTGGTTAAAATATGTTATTATTTTACATTTTTAAAAAGTACACGTAATTTAATATAATAATTTATCTAAAATAAATTACTTCGTTATTAAACCTAAATTAAATTATAAAAAAATTGAATTAACGAAATTATACAACAAAACAAGAACTTTAAATAGTTAATTTGATAATAATATTGATATTTTTTTAAAATTCTAAAATATCTTCAAATTTATATTTTATTTAAAAATAAAAACAATATCGTTTTTCTCAAAACCATATAAAACCATAAAACCATATTATAACATCGACAGAGGGCAGAATAAAACGAAAGATTAAAATCGAGTTATATCTCGCTGCATTATGCGAGTACCCTTCCAGTTACGTATAAATGGATAACTAGAAGGGTACTCGTGCAATGCATCGAGACACATTTCGATTTCAATGTTTCGTTTTATTTTTTTTATCTATGTCGATATAATACGATTTTATGTGGTTTTGAGAAAGCGATAATGCTTTTACTTTTGAATGAAATATAAATTTAAAAATATTATATAAAATTTGCAAAAAATATATCAATATCAGTGTCAAATTAACTATTTAAAAGTTCTTATTTGTGTATTTTTTTTAATTCAAAATTTTTATTATAATTTAATTTATTATAACGAAGTAATTTAATTTAGGTTTAATAATAGTTTTTTTTATAAAGATAATAATTAAGTATTCTGTTAGAACTCAATAATTATTTTAATTATATTTTAGATTTTTTATATTTTAAAATGAGATATTTATCATTTATTTGATTATGTTTATCCACAATTAGTTACACGAATTCAAAGTAGAGCTTTAATAAGTATAATTATGTAAAATTTACTTGTAATATTGAATTTTAAGTAATATGCATCAATAAACAGTATTTCATACATAAAAAATGGTTTTTAAGAATTTTTATCAAATATTTTATAATATAATATAGATTTTAAATAAATTAAGTAAATATAGAATATTGAAAAATCGTCCTATTTAATATTATTATAAAAAATTATGTAAATTGACATGGTACAGAGCCGACATTTTTTTTTGGACAACGTAGACAGTTAGCCGCATATGCGTTTTTCTAGGATCTATCTGAGGGCAATTTAGTCTTTTTTGCATTGGCTAAATATTTCATGGATTTTTATAAAAATGTTATAATTTATTCAATATCAATTATTTATACTATATTATAAAATATTTGATAATTTTTTTTTTATATATTAAATATTATTTATTGATGTATATTACTTAAAATTTAATATTACAAGTAAATTGTTCGTATATACAACTTATTAAAGTTTCATGTTTAAATTCGTATAACTAATTATAGATAAACATAATTAAATACTGGGTAAGTATTTCATTTTAAATATAAAAAATTTAAAATATATTTAGGATAGTCGTTGAATTCTAACAAAATACTAAATATTATCTTTATAGAATAATTATATTATTAAACTCAAAATAAATGACTTTATTATTAAAATCAAAATTAAATTATAATAAAAAATTGAATTAAAGAAATTATACAAAAAAAAAATAAGAACCTTTAAATATTCAATTTGACAACAAAATTGACACATTTTTTTAAAAATTTTATGATACATTCAAATTTATATTTTATTCAAAAAATAAAAACGTTATCGTTTTTTCAGTACCACATAAAATCGTATTATAACATCGAAAGAGACAGAATAAAGTGAAACATTAAAATCAAAATGTATCTATTGTAATTTGCTCAACATCAATTATACAATTAAAGAGCTAGCAAGATGTTTAAAGAGAGGATGAAAATTAAATTTTATTATATAGTTGAATTAAACAACTGATAGTTTAGATACATATAGGCATGAGAATGAGACCCGTCCCATTTGAAAAAATCGATGTGCTCGTCCCAATGGAGCCGGAAATTCCCTGCCAAACCATGGATCAGGGATGGGGACGGGAATCTCTGAAAGTTAAAAACCAGGGTCGGGAATGGGGTCAAATAACGTAGTCTCTAATTCAGTATCGAAATCAGTCAAAAAATCAGATCAATCAAAAATCAAAGAGTCATGCCACCATGAGCCCATTACTTCAGATAGGTCCTCATTACTAACTCACTTAAATGTGAAAACTCTTGTGTACCTCACTTCACATGAACATAACAAGCTTACGTTAACAAATGAAATCATATCAAGTTTTATCATCCCGATACATCATGAATACGCTCCTTTAAAAGTCGAAACAAGCAACGCTCCCAGATCAAATAACTTAACAAAATTCCCGTAAATACAGAGTTTTACAGAAATGAAATTATACATACGTACTCTAATAACAGTCAGTTTCACAGATAATTTCAAACATATACATGCATATTATCTTCGTTGAGGGTGTTCAAATTTCGGTTTAGAATCATAAAGATCGAAAATCGAGAACCCAAACTGATAGACATTCATCTGTTTGAGAATCTAAGACTGATAACAACCACCGAGTTTAAAACTACGTAGTTTAAGTTAAATTAAAAATTAAAATATATTTAAATGTTTTATTAAAAAAAAGTTAATGATTTGTTATCTATTTCGTTCTTGCGTGGCAAAGTTGTAATTATCTTCAATTATGGTGGCATTTAAATAATGGTGTATTTATATAAACTCCATACACAAATAACACAAACCCAACGCGCCACAATTCCATTCCACGCCCACTTTTCTTCACACGCTAACGCCGCCGTAAACCAAACGCTTCCCTCTCGCACCACCGTCACCGGCGGCCGGACAAAACGATCTACCACCATGGCTATGGCTTTCAAGATGGTATTCTTCCATAACTTTATCTTTAACTTTTCGAAATTAATATTATACTTAAATATTTCGGTTCTGTGTGTGTGTGTGTGAAAATGATTTACTAATCGGCGGCGGAATCACGGTGGTTGTAGGCGACGACGGGGATGTGGGTGGCGGATGAATGTAAGAATTCGTTCATGGAGATGAAATGGAAGAAGGTTCATCGGTATATAGTGTTTAAGATCGACGAGAAATCGAAGCTGGTGACCGTCGATAAAGTTGGTGACGCCGGAGAAGGGTACTCCGATCTCACCGCCTCCCTCCCGGACGACGACTGTCGTTACGCCGTCTTTGATTTTGATTTCGTCACCGTCGATAATTGCCGGAAAAGCAAGATTTTCTTTATTGCATGGTTCGTATTCCATATCTTGATATTTTCCATATTATTGATTTATAATGATTTAATTATTTTTATTATAAAGTAATAATTAAAATTTATAAATTAACATAGGAAACTACAAACCCATCATTTATTTGGGTATTTTTGTCATTTTATTTGTAATTTTATCTTGAATTAGTTATTGTATATATGTCAGAATCATTAAGAGACTCTTATGATGTAGTGTAAAAAGAAATATAATTGTATAGTAATTATTTAGAATGAAATTAGGGTGTTGAATGGTCAAAAAAGATTCAAGATACAAAATTTTTCGGAGGGTTTTAGAACCATTAAGAGACATACTCTTTTTTTGCCAAACAAGATTAATCTCTTAGTGATTCAGACACTGACTCTTAATGAAACTATTAAGAGGTAAACAAACATCCCCTTAAATGAACTTAAGACACATTCATTTTTTCTATTGAGATTTAAATTACTTTAGAAAAGATTGGGTTATCATATACTGCTAAGTCATTAGTTATCTGATCAAATTCTTCATTTTCTTGTAGCGTTTTTGCATTAAGTACTTCTGTTTTCTTTCAATTCCTGCTTTATCAAGTTCTTCTATTACTTTTCAAAATCTAAATTCGTCTAACGCGTGTTACTTGTCAAATAAAATTTGGACTCTGGATGTATCGATAAAAACCAGTATTTCTACTTTTTTAAGACAAGGGAAATATTAGCATACATCTTATTCATGGACCATACTTTCTGATAAAATGTGCCGACACATCCGATCTGGTTTGTTAAACTATTTGCATTACTTTCTTTCAGAATCTTTTGTAGGTAAAAACTTACATTTTAAATCGTATATTTATTATTAAGTTATGTGTCAAATCAGATATTGCATTATCTGATATACAAGATTACAAGTTTAACATAAATCTCTCAAATATTATCTGAATTTTTTTTTAAAATTATCTTAAAACATATTAAATATTTGGAAAAATGGAAATAGAAATAAGAATTTAAAAAGAAGAAATGGAATAAAAGACAATAACTTTATAATAATGGTGTCATTTATTTGACTTTAAATAAAGGTGCATAAGTATGTGGATTGGAAATAATAGACTTAGACTTTATTGAAAAAAGTGACATTATATGATATGGTTGTTTTCGTGAGACACGTGAGGTAACATTTTTACATTTAAAACTTCATAACAAAACGCTGTGAAGGTAACTTTCACAACGTGTTTGTTGTGGAGGTTCGGTTGGCTCACACGTCTCACGAAAACAACCTTGTCTCACATGATCTCAAGTCTCTTTCTCTCTCTCTCTCTATATATGTATGCATACATGTATGTATGTATGTATGTATGTATGTATGTATGTTGATATGATTATGAATGTTGTATAGGGCTCCAAGTGCATCAAAAATAAGAGCAAAAATGTTGTATGCAACATCCAAGGATGGATTAAGAAGGGTTTTGGATGGGATTCACTATGAAGTCCAAGCAACTGAGCCAAGTGAGATGGGGTTTGATATCATTCAAGATAGAGCCAAATAATGTGAAAACATCATACCCCACCCCTACCCACCAACCTACTCACCCAACATTATATACATAGTCTAATAATCACCCACCCACTTATATCATCATGTTTTTTTTTGGCATCTTTCATAGGGGTACAAGTCTCTTTTTATGATTAAGTTTGAAACAATTGTGTTATAATGACTTATATTACAGTAAAAGATACAGTTTCATATCGTATTCGATCATTTTGATGATGTAACCTAATGTAACTGATTTTCTTATGTTGATTTCAAGAGAAAAGGGGTTTTCTTCGGATTGACTAGATGTTCCTTTTTCGGCTTTCTATCAGTATTTTGTACCTTTTGGTTGCAAACTAAGAAGATCCAACCACAAGGGTGGTGCCTGATTGGTTTGAGCTTGACTCTGAAGATCAAAATTACCAGGAGGTCTCAAGTTTAAATCCAATGAGGAATAAAAATTCCCTTGTGGCTACGGAGGTTCAAATGCGGTGACTCCGAGCTGTCTGGATATCCAGGTTAATAAAAAAAACTAAGAAGATCCATAGATGCATAAATGGAATTATTATATTATGGTCTATGATATTTGCATTAGATGACGTATAAGGCTTTCAACCCAACCATTCTGCCCCTGTTGATATAAATTTGATAAGATTTGTTATTATTGTAATCTAGAAATGGTACCGTTGATAATGGGTCAATTTTGTAAATTAAGGAAAGTGATTAGGTTGAGGAAGAGGTTGGATATAACTACTTGATAAATGGGGTTGAATAGAATTAAAATCTGTATGTATGGAACATGGGAGGTAACCGATAAACGTGAGACTTAAGGTAGAATTATGATTTGAAGTTATACTCGCAAGAAATCGGATGAAGAACTTTCTAGACAAGCCATTAATGTATGCATGGCAAGCAACATATGTTTGTCTGTTATTTTATGGTAATTGTAACAAGTGCAGTGTCCATTAGAGACAAACCACCCAATATAACATGTGGGAACATCCATTTAGCATAGTAAGCACGCCGTGATACCAGTTATTGTTCTGGAATTTCAAACTCGCAACATACTGATTGTCGTGCTTGATTATGTTCACTGACGTACGCCCTAACATAGGGGCAATATTTGAAAAAAATATATATTTTAGGGAGAGACTTGAATGCCATTAGTGAAATTTACAAATGTAATATATGGTAATACCCGAAAGGGTGAGGGCTTAAATGGGAATATGATAAGCACGTTTAAATTAGAATGTAGTGTGAGGGATTAAAATCAAGAGAAGAGATTAATAGGATTTAAACTCTTGTATGGCAACACTGATATGCGGAATCTTGATATAAAAACCCTCTGTTTATCCCTTTGAGACCATAAGCAAGTCGTGGCAGGGAATCGAGTTGATGGTGAGACTTCAGTGAGTTCAGAAGTAGCAAAAGGAAGAAGGACAAATAACAAGTTCGGGAGGAAATTAGCTAGTTAATGTTGTGATTTTTATGTTAAGCCTTCGTTTTAATATGGAGTTAGTAGTATATGATGTCAGAGAGTGGTTTGTGTCATTTGGTATGCTCTATGCGAGACTTTAAAGTTATTGATTTGAGTGATGAAACAATATGTACGTTTTTTGTAAAACATAGGAGAAATGTCACTTTTTATGCATAATCCAGTGTTAAGTGAGATATATGATAGGTATGTGTTATGGGTGTGCTGATGTAGAAAAGGGACAAATTTGGTGTAAAATCAAAGGGGTCAAGGTTAAACTAGTGAAGTAGACAAAACCCAAAACATATACATGCATATGCATGGAAACGTAGGATGTCGTAGGTTTGACACGACCCTGTGGAGTTTTGCCCAACGGTGTAGGTTTACAATGGAAACTTGGTACAACAATGTTGGTCATGTTTGAGCGATGTAACCTGTAAGATAGTTTGAGACACCAATGTTGTGTGTGAGTTGACTAGTTGACTCAACTGCTCTGGCATGCATTTTGGTAGATGCTAATTTAGGATCAAATACCAGAACTATATTAGAAGTGAGTTTTCATGTGCTTTAAATGGGATGTATGTCTGTATGGAAAATATGTTCAGTAAAGATGTATGTTCAGTATTTTGCTACAAGTTCAATACTTTTCAAGAAGATATGAATGTTTTATGTATGAGGATCACTATGTTTTAATGTTATGAATGAACACGACTTATGTATGTATATGGGTCGACAAACCAGGACATTGGTTACATATTACAAATGAGGCATGGGCAGACAGGTGTGTCCTCAAGCATCGGTTCGAGATATGTTGCACAAGGCCATCTAAGCCACAATATAAGGAGCTTGGTGACCCACACCATACTCGAGAACGAAGGTCTCAATTTAAAAAGGAGTTTACACTATTTACCTATAGCACCCTGAAGTTTGAGTTTTAATATTTAAGTATTAAAGTCTTAGTGTGTGTGTGTGTGTGTAGAGTTAAGCACTTTGGGAATCAAGAGAAAATGTTACGAATAAATGTATGTAATTATACGGATATTTAAATTAATTATAGGTGAAGGGGCTAAGGTGTAAGTTGGACAAACTAGAAGGGTCCTAAGTGAAAAATATACTAATTGCAAAAAGAAACAAAAGGAATTTGAATTAGATTGGGAAAAAATCCCATTTTTGTTGAAGATATAAATCCCCGACATTCGGCCTCATAGTTAGACTATAAGCGATAACTCAAATTGAAAGCACATCCCACATAAGAGAGGATCAAAAGCCCTAAGAAATCAGTAAGAAAAGTCGAAAGGTGAAGGAGAATTCGGTCGTCAAAGCGAACAGGGTTTTTTCGAGGTTTTTCGTCAAATTCTAGGTAAACCGTCTATCTTAATTCTAGTTTTTTGTTCCCTAATGAATCGATTTGTTGTATTGTGTAGATGGTATAAGTCTCAGGTCGTAAGAAAGTCGAGAAGGTGGTCGATTTTGCCAAAAACACCATTAATAACAGTATTTGATAAAAATCGAACCCTTGAACTCAAAATTGAAGCCCCTTAGTCCAAAATTTAAATCTAGAGGGGTATTAGGTTGAGTAGACTCTCAAACGACCAATCAAGCAAGACTTGTTAGTAGAATTAATATAGTGGTTGAAAAAGAAGTTTGTGGGCAACTGTACTTAAACAGTCATTATAAACTGTGTAGGTTAGTCACTATGAGGGGATAAAGAATCCTACACAAACACCAGGTGAGTTCAGTGGATTTGTAAAGCAGAGATGCATGCATTGTATGCAAATATGTTGCAAAAGTTTTGTAGTCAGATTATATATGTTTTAAGAAGTTTGTAGGGTTTTCGACGGACGTAGGTTACTGCCAGAGTAGCATACCGGTATTATTTGGTCGTGGCTTGAGGAGATAGCCCCTTATAAGCATGACTTTGTATAAGCCAATAGCATGGTGAGACAACACCTACACGCTTGGCAGAATAGTTATGGTTATGATAAAAAGTACAAGTTAAAAATTGTATGTTTTCTTCGCATATATCTCCATAGTTCAAAGCATGTTTTCATATCATTTATTGTCGTAAAACATATAAGAAAACCGTGAACTAACTAGACGAAAGCTGACATTTTTAGTATGTATCTCTCAGGGGGCGTTATAGCAGATAATTCGAAGAGCAAAGAGAAGATTTAAGCATGACCCTAGGTCAAGATCTACTTAGATTTAGCCGATGACAAGTTCTTTTCAATATTTATTAGTCGTTGGGTGTGGCACTAACTACCCATTTCAACCAATCTAATTATGTTCTAATATTGCATACTAGTAACAATAAATCCAAATACGATAAATTAATTAAGGAAGACATCACTGACTTGAAGATGAATTTTTGAACGAGATAAAACTCTGCAAAAAGGATAGAGGATTGCTAATAAATTTAAGTCATTGCTAACAAATAAATCTCGGTTTGGTTCTGGATTGAACAGGGTATATAAATCTATAACAGTGCCAAACGTTTAACCATTGAACTTAAGTACATGAACTAAATACCTCTTAATAGTTCCATTAAAGAGGCAACATCTGAATCGTTAAGAGGTGAATCTTGTTTGGCAAAAAAAAGTATGTCTTTTAATGGTTCTAAGACCCTCGGAATAATTTTGTATCGTGGGTCTCCCTTAACCATTCAGCGCCCTAATTTTTATTGTAAACAATTACCAAACAATTATATTTCATTTTACACTATATTATTAGAGCCTCTTAATCATTCATACTACTTAATTATTCCGCACCAAACCATTCAGCAACTGCCAAACAGCCTCCTATACTAAGCCAGTGAGGCAGTGACTAAACAAACCCACATCTCCTGTCTTTGGTGTCGACCCAATTCTAATAAACAAAGCGAGTTTGGGCATATAAGCATCCCCGATTTTTCATGTGTCACGAAATTTCGAAAATGCACGTTTTGAACGTGAAAATAAAAGTGTTACAATTGAATTAAAAATCAGTTCATGATTACTTTCTTAATTGCAAAAAATTGTATATTTTTTTAATCATTAAAAAAATCATCATTAAGCAAATAAGTAATTAAAAATACTTTGGTTCTAAAAAAAGCTTGTTAATTTAAGATTGTTTGATTAATACTCTTCAATATTAAAATACTTGATTATTTTTTTTAAAAAAGAAAAGTAATCATAAGAAGGTTCAATAATGATTAGAGAAATAATATAAAAATCTTGTATTTAAATGGTACTTTATTCATTATTAGATATGTGTCAACAAATTTTTTAATCACTTCTTAAGTTAACTATATTATATTATAAAGCATTTGACAAAAATTGTTAACAATTTTTATGTATTAAGTACTGTAAAATTCAAGATTACAAGTAAATTGTGCATACATACAACTTATTAAAGTTCAATGTTTGAATTCGTGTAATTAACTGTAGATAAACATAATCAAATATTTGATAAATATCTTATTTTAAATATAAAAAATCTAAAATATATTTAGGATAATCATTGAATACTAACAACTAATTATTATCTTTATAAAAAAATTATATTATTAAACCAAAAATAAATGGCTTCATTATTAAATCTAAATTAAATTATAATAAAAAATTGAATTAAGGAAAAAAAACAAGAACTTTTAAATATTTAATTTAATATTAAAGTTGATACATTTTTTTTCAAAATTTTATGATACCTTCAAATTTATATTTTATTCAAAAAATAAAAACATTATCGTTTTTTCARTACCACATAAAATTGTATTATAATATCAACGTTAACAAAATAAAATGAAACACAAAAATCGAGATAAATCTTGCTGGATTGCACTAGTACC